AGAAGTTTTAAATCCCCCTCCTAGCCCTATTATATGAAACAACCAGAATCAAAATCGGATGAAAAATAACGAAGAAGAAGCATTTTGAAAACTGTGGCGGAAGGACGGACGGACGCCACGCCATGGCATAAGCCCATGGCATATGCTCATCCTACATTTGCAATATTTACTGCCAGTACCTTGATAAGTTTAAGCAGATGCATATTGTTTATGTCAAAGCTCTAACCTTAATTGTGTTCTATTTTATTTACTATCATCTATTTTTGCATGGCCTACCTAGCCTACAGTCATTTGCCTTCATATACATGTACAACACTTCTATTGTAGAACACAATTTCATTAGTACCTCCCCCCCCCCCCCCCATATATATTTTACCTATATTTTGTTATGTATTACTTTGTTTTGTGCAATTTGTACTTTCTATACCACCAGATATATGTATATTTATGTGTTTTTTAATCATGGTATGTGCAATAAAGACCAAATCTAATCAAATTAAATAAAATGAAATGAATGCCTTCTCTTACTGAACACGAAGATATTTTCTAAAATAACTTGATGTAATTAACAAGTGAAACGCTCTCGGCGGTCTCGCCTGCATTACGCAATTCGATATGATGAAAAATTGAGGTTGGAACATTGTTTATAGGCAGTGTTTTAGATAATGATAAAAATGACGTCTGGACGACATTAGAGTGTACAGCAGATGCAGGGACGCTGTCAGGGAAGGTTGAGTGTTATCAAAATGTAACAAATATATTAGTTATCAAGATATTCAAAGATTTTAAGCAGACCATACAGATAAGAAAACCTACACTTCCTGTATTTTGTTGTGCCTCATTGTCTTCTCAAGTCATTGGTCGATGTATTTGTAATGATACTGTGTATCCACCTGATACAAACCAGGATCCATGTCCTGTAACTGCAGTCCCTTCCCAGCACCGGCCCACCGTCCCGAGCACAGAAATAGTATCCACGAGGCCAGAGACTACATCATTTCAAGCAATAGAGAAAACTGTTCTTCATGAATGGTTTCCCAAAACTAAAATGCATTTTGTATCAAATCTGGTTAAATTTGCGCCTATAATTTCTGTTTTGGCTACAATCACAATTCCAACCATTCTCACCTTGATAGATGATGAGCCTTAGTATTTAATATTCATGTTTTAGTCTTTGTATGACACTGTTTACTAGTAACTAGTTATAATCTGCACTGGGCAGTTTCTGAGCAATGATTTTCTTAGAAAACTCAATGAGTCACTTTCTCTGTCCAGTGTACTTCTCTTCAATCTTTTTTTAACATCATTTTTCATTCAAAGCGTGAATTTGAAATATATGCAAAACAAGAAATACCCCCAACGGCTGAAAAGTGCAAGGTGATGCATGTTAGGTTCCTATGCAATGGCCAACCTCAACCATTGATTAATTATCATATCGGTCTCAACAGTCAGTCAAAACCTAAAATGGCTCCAGGGATGCGCAGGTTGAAAAATTCATCAAACATGCATCCCAACGTGTAGCTATCTTGTGTATCTTAAAGGGATCGTTTAACAAAGTTAAATCTGAGATACATGGCCCTACGTGTTATCAGTGTCTGTGATTATGGTGTATTATTGAAGCCCTAAAAAATTGCGCTTCAAAATGATCAAGAAGTGCCTCAAAAAAGTACAAATTTTGAGTGACCGGTTTTACCATACTCGTTTTCCCCAATAGACTGTAGTGTTATGAAAAGCGTCAGGCGAACGGTTTTCAAAATTTGTAATTCCAATCATAAATATCTTGATAATCAGACAGGCGATTGGCTTGTAAAAGTAATGGGGTTCCTGACTGACCTAAATGTTTATAATTATCATTGCATCATGAGCTAAATCCAGAATTTAGTTTCAGAATCTGAGACAAAGTTACCGGATCCCTTTAATGAAGAGAGTGGAGTTTCAGACAGTACAGCGACTGTGTGCTTATTTACACCCCCAAGCAAGAGCGCAACGAAATAAACAATCAAGTGGTTTCGCTCTTGTCACACTGATTAACAGGGGGGAAAATATTAAAAGATTTGGGGGGCTACTTTTCAAGCTTGTTTGCATGAAAATAACACTCTGTAATTTGTTGGGGGGGCTCTATTATGACTTTCGGGGGCTCTTTTTAGCAATTAGGGGGCAATTTCGCCCAAGCCCCCATGTATTTTCTCCCTGCTGATTAATGTCCAGACATTCTACCTCTCTTGCCATTTTTGTTGTTGTCAAATGTGTCAATGGTCTTGCACCAACCCAATTGAATTTAATAGACATGGATGCAATAAACACTATGAGATATCCCTTTTTACAACAGTAGGTTTTACCAGTATTATCAATATGCATGTTTAATGACTGAAGTATTTTATTTTTTACCCACAAAACATTTGCTACCTGTACCTTGATAAGTTTATGCATATGTGACATAAGGAAAACATTTAAAATTCTCGAGGTCCAATATTACAGACTATGTTAACATCTTTTCTTAAAATAGTATTAAATTACATCTGTATTCTTTGCCCTCAATTATTGTATTTAAATTGGTATTAAATTAGACTAAACATACTGACTACCACATCATACTCCACAAGGAAAAAAGAAATCTTTAATTTGTATTAATATCAAGTCATCTAGTTATTGCATTCTATATTACTATGAACAAAACTTATTTACTGTCTTTTTATACCAAAGAACAAATGTAATGCTTTACATGAACATAATGTGAAACAAATTTGAACTGAGTTGGAATGCCATGAAATAAACAAATAAATTTCATAAAATCTATTGTATATATGTAGGAATATGGATTTGTCCATATTTTATGCAAATTACTTTGGTCTCTTGTGGGCAAAAGATTCCCAAGAGGGGAAAATGTAGGAATTTAGATTTGTACGTATTTTTTCTTATGCAAATGACTTTGGAAAATTTGCATAAAACTACTCAATTTAAAAGTTTTTTTTCTGATTTTGAAGAAGAATTGTTATATTTTGAGTCTATGTAAAAAAAGGAACAAGATAAGTAATGTTTACTTTATTCAGAAGGTGTTGGTTGAAAAATAGCAAGAAGAGGAAGGACATTTTGTTTATAATATTGTGATAGGTCCTTGTATGTGGGCGCGGAAATCTGCCTGACATACCAGTGTACGTAGGACACACATTGCATCTTGTCATGGTTTTACATCATGATTAGAGAAATTGTCAATTAAATGGTTCATAACGTACCTGTATTTAGTGTGTGAATTATTGATCGTAATGATTTTGCCATTAAGGGCACATGATGTAAACATTGGGATAAAGATGGCGGCGCCTAGCTATCTAATTTGTATGTTCGTAGGATTTGGTGTGTTACTTTGCTATTTGTATACTGTAAGAATGCTGTAATGATTTATTATAGAAAATGCTAGTGCGGTGCATTAGTTGTCACTGTTTCAGATTGTGGTCCATCTAGGACTGTGTTGGGAGCCGGGAGCTGTTCTAAATAAAGACTTTGAGAGGATCTTTGTTATTACATTGTTATTGATGGACATGCAGATCTACTTTGAAAACATTAATGCCACAGTTTATGTAGACTAATATTATAATAATATCTCTACTGTAAACCAAAAGTTAATTGTGTTAATTGCAAATGCTTATATTTGTATATACCTTTGTATAGTTTTTATTGAAAATGGAAATGAATAAAATGAATTGAATTGAATTGAATTGAATTGTTAGTTTATTGTAAAATGTAACACAGAGAACAATAGACTGCAACTCAGTATTGGGGGGTTGGGATTGGAGCATTTTATTATGTTTGCAGGCTGCAACAGGTAGCCTATAGAGTATACATCAGGAGTGATAGTGAGCACTGAAAAAAAAATATTTAAAAAAATGTCCTTAACCACCCCCTCCTTGGGTAAAAAAAAAAAAAGATTCAGGAGAAAAAAATGGCATCCAACAACATTCCCTCTTTTTGAGTAAGAAAATTGTGAAAAAATTGAGAAAAATCGGGAGAAAATCAGGAAAGAAAAAAAAGGGAGAAAAAAAAATGGGGAAAAAAAAATCAGGGAAAAAAAAATAATAATCGAGAAAACGATTTAAATAGGGTAATTATCAGGCCTGGCATGTAGGCCTACGATGAAAATATGTTACTGTCTGGTAACCTCGCCTACATTGTTAATTGTCAGTGATATATGATATTCCTGCAAAACCTACTGTTTATACATGTTGATGAGAATCTGTACTTGCCTTTATGTTTGTCATTTCTTGATTGATTTGCAGGGCTTTCAATTACTACATGAAGTGCATGTACATGTAGATGATCAAAAAATAAATGGGCTCATTACCCACTCTTCTTATACAAGCTGCTTGATCGAGTTCTTTGTGGATTCAATTCTTATATAGTCTTACTCCGTATTACGACATATAAAAAGCCTCGTATAAGATATCAAAATATCTATGGATGTATGAATAATAGCTGAAAATGTAAGCCAAGGTTGTGTGTTTATGACTGCATTAATTTAAAACATAAAATGCAGGGCATGTGTTTCACAGATCCGTCACTTGTATTTAATGAGGATGTTGAAACAATGAAATGGACAACACAGGCCACTTTGAATATACTTTAAACAACTTGAAGCAATGAAAAGGCCATATTACTGAAAGTCATCTTTCCTAACTTACACTCAACATTTATCATTTTTTCATGTACATTTTAGTTGATACACAAGTCTAACTCAAGGTTTAGACTAAGTGATATCATGAATACACTGTAGTACCTTTAATAAAAAGGAGTCATGCTCTTTTTTAGAATAATACAAGAGTAAAAAAATGGGTAAATTAACTAAATTTATCACGCTCATGTACATGCAGTTCACTAAAAGAAAAGTCAACTCAGTATCACGCACTAAGTCTTCATACAGATTCATTAAAGTAGTCCTGAACTAGAGTCATTGTATTCAATCTCTGATTGGCCAAGTATCTGCAGGCAAACAGAAAGACAAGGGCATTTTGTGTGCATTCAAACTAAGACCTCGAACCTCAGCTTCATCACTACTTTGAATATAATCCAAATATGATTCATATTCAAATAGATTCAAACCAAAGTTCATTTTAAGGGGGAGTGCACCTCATGCAGAGCAAAGAAAATCTTGTATTGTATTTGAGCACAAAGTTCAAGATAAAACGGTATTCCTCAGTAGCAGAATACAATGGATAGATTTCCAGTGCATTAACAGAGCCTTTGGACATCCATGTTGCTTGGAGAAAAAAAGGTAAGATTTTTTTCAACAAAATGCAATTTGTATGAAATTTCCTGTGAGCTTTGAATAGGTCTGGATAATAGAAGATATATGTAAGAAAAACCTTGCATCATGGTAAATTTATTGTTGGATTAATGCTTAATATTAAAGGTAATGCAAAGTTTTGGTATGGGGTCATGAATTTGGTTCAAATGAACATATTGGAAGCATATACGAGCCTACAATATTCAGTGATCGTTGTCGCGGTCGAAATCGACTCTAAAGTTATGAAATTGTAAATAATTAACACTTAATGTTGAATAGCTCCCTCTCAAGGTCAAGATATTAATTAAGCTATAAATCAATGTTCATTGACTAAAATCGACCGATTAGCTATTCTCGTTCGGAAATGATATACAATGTACCACAACTACATACTCTGAGATTTTTATGGTCGCAGCTACCATTGTACGGCCGTAGGAGCTATTTGAAATGTATCAAAATTTACCGGGAGCACCGGTAAATCTTTATATTCAATTTTTCTCAAAAGCAGAAGTGTTTTAGGAGCTAAAATTTCTGGTGTTTTTAATACATCCACAGGGGCATCCAAATATATCGAAATTGTAAAGAATCACTATCCACCCATTTTTCAAAATTTCCCAAAACTTTGTAATACCTTTAAACACCTTTGCAGCAAGTATCAATAGAGATGAAATGCTGTAAGTGCTATGCATCTTCAATTTAGTCAAATAAATCATATTCTCTCTCTGATTGTTTTAAATCTACCACTCTTTTCGTTTTATTTGACTATGTATTCCAATCATAAAAGTAAATTCATTTAGGATTTTCTCACCGATAATCTGGAAGAACTATATACCACAAGTTTCAAGAGAAATGGTGTAATTCATGAATGGTATACTTTTTCCTCAATTTAGGGCTCAATTTCCAGCTGAGAGCAGAGTGAACCACCTTTCTACAAAATGAGGCTGTTATATACTCTAACGCTTGTTCTGCTAGCATTTGTAACCATCTTTGCTAGTGAGGTCTATGAGGGTGATTCCATCTCCTTGGTGTTTCAGGAGGCTCTTGAAGAGACCAGTGTTTACTCCATCCTCTTCAATGATGTGATCATCTTTGAGAATGGCTCTCCTGTAGAAGGGTCTCTTCCTGCCAAACAGCTAAGCAGATTGGACATCCAGGACACACTATCCAGTGTGCATGTGAACATTCAAAGTGCGGAGAAAGAAGATGCTGGGACATATACCCTGCACGTGAATCCTGCAACTGACTCTTTTGTGGAGGAGAACATCGACTTAGAAGTCTTCTACATGCCTTCAGATCCACAGTGTAACATTATCAACGACACCATCACCTGCAATGCCACTCAAGGGTACCCAAGTGGAGGCAGGATTAGCTGTTATGAAGGGAGTGAGAAGCTACAGAATATCCTACTAGGGGAGGGTTCTGAAACCATTGAAGCAAAATACAAATTCTTTCTTGAGGATACTTCCATCGGCTGTTGCACAGAAAGCAGCCCTTTTGTCTTTGCACCAGGAAACTGTACTCAGTTTGTATTGTACGCTCTTCCTCAAGTTGAAACTACTACGACCATTGTTTCAATAAAGAACATAACAATACCGCAAAACACAACCACAACTGAGGTGCCATTAGAAACTGGTATTCCGTACCCTGACAACTGGTTGTCTGAAAACAGGGCAACATTTGGTGTCATGTGCTGTATCCTATTTGTCCTGCTCTTCTTGTATCCTTTTGGCATGATATATCATTTCAAAATATGGATGCGAGAACCTAAAAAGTATGTTTCAGATAGCAAAGAAAAGGGACCCTTCACTGCATTATCTTCAGTATGAGTTTGTTCATGCCCATAAAGCAGCAAGAGTTCTGAATCTGAAATACATTACATGCATGCAATAAAATTGGCCTACATGTAGGTTGAATTCTTTCCACATGGACATCATGATCACAATGTTGCCAAGTCTGATATAATTGCGTTAAGGTATTAGCTTAGTCAAAAATCAAATCATGAAATCTGAAAGAATTTCAAATGTGAATTGGTCTCAATCAGCTATCTGTCTTCGCCTAAAAGCTGGCTCAGGCAATCCTAGGTTCAAAACTAAGTCATGTCTTTCGGATGGTGACGTTATTAGGTCAGGTCAGTTTTCAGACGTAAATAATCATATCCGATTGATACACGTCTGTACAAACTGAAACCCTATTACTCAAAATGAAGATCATGTGAATGGCAATGCCCTTAAAGATGTACAGTATGTTATACCATGAAGATGTTATCAAAGGGTTCTACAAAACAAAAATCAACCACAAAAATGTAATTAGTTGTATTATAATATCACTGTAAAGTCAGAAATTTAGTTATAGTATTTCAAATATATGCTGTACCCATAGACTGCTTCATGGTAATGCACGTTATTGATTTCAAAATGTATTTCACCCATTTTCCTCATTTGTATACCCCTCCCCAAACAAGTTTCCACTTCAACAATAAATATAAAATCAAATCTTCATATGTTGGCTATCATCAGCTTATCAAGTAAATTTATTTTGAAATACTGTCAGTAACTTTCAGAAAGATGCAAATTTCCTGAATTTGCAATACAGAGATGAGGAACTATCCACATTGATATTAGTCTGAAACCAAAGATTAATTTGGATTCATATCATATCCAGGAGTCAGATCTGAACGCATTTGACAATATTGTACCATTGACAGGGTAATCAAAACTAAAGAAACATTTCTCTTTGTAAGCAAAACTAACTGATGGTTTAATCAAAACTCTTGATAAAACTTTGAACATGATTTTTTACTGTATCCTTTTGCATATCACTGGTTCTGCTATTAATTTATACAATAAAGAGAAAAATCTTGAGAGAAGTGTGTATATAGAAAACCAGATATTTCACTTGCAAGAGACTTTTGTAAATAGAGCAAATGTTCCGGACTCACGAATGGTTCACACTGCGAATGATGGAATCGCTATGTAAACTATGCAGTTCATGAAGCTCCTTGCCGCAAAAACACAAATCATATTTGCAAATTTATGTTTCACATCATGAAAATTAATATGGCACTGTACAAGACCTCTGTACATAATTTATTATATATGTGTGTATGTTATTTCTTCCTGTGACTCAACTAAAGAGACTGAATAAATCAATGATATTGGATGACACATGGTGTTTGTCATTTATTAATTAAACTTCTGAAATGGTTGAGAGTAGTATATTCAATGTGTGATGCATGAAGTTGATGAAGATGTTAACCACATACATGTACATGTAGCATACATAGAGATTACGTCCTATATAAGAAACATATTGACAGGGTTATGAAAGTAGTCAACTGTTTACTAAATGAACTATGAATGTCAGAAAAGATGTCCATCAAAGTTGTAAGATCAAATCATCAACATGCATTGAGGGAAAGTTGGTGTTCAATTCAATAGGAGAAACAAAATGGAGAAAAAAACAAGAAAGAACTGCCTGCCTGCAAGAAAGCTGTTATTTTCATAATACATAGCTCGTACAGCACTCAGCTGACCATATGTTGTGAAGGGAATGGTACTGGTGACTTCAAGTCGTGTTGTGTGTTGGTGATGGTGGTGATGGTGATGATGGTGATGGTACTGGTGTTTGGGAATGCTAATTGACATGATTGTTGATGTGGACTATGGTTTCAATAAGAGTCAAATCACACATCGGTATAACTGGTAAATGCATAACCTCTTATTTTGAACAAGGAGTGAGACAGGTAGTAATGATCCTACATGTACACCTAAAAACTAAAATCAATATTTAAAAGGGCTGACGAGACGTGACCACTACTTAAAAAAAATAATAGGGTAACACTGTGAAAAAGCTGGATCCAACAATATAAAGGTTAGATCTACAATGTTAAAAGTGTTAAACTGAAATTGTTTAAGTGCTCACTCCTAATAGCCCTTTTAAATGGAGATTTTAACAATTATTTTTTAGATTGTACAACATTAATTTCTGCTGAATCTACTGAGAGCTAAAAGGGGATATTTGTTATCGTAAATTAACCTCCTTACTGTTTCTAAGGAAACAGCACAACAAAAAGTATACTATTGTGTGACACGGGTATGGACTTTGACTGAACTCGAGAATTGATTCTGTGCAAATATGAACTTGCTTTGTTAGGCCTTTGCCTTCAGCTGTGTAAAAGTCAGGATACAGGCCAAGAGATGGCAGCAAACAAGGTCAAAGTAGACCAGCAAGTTGCTCTGCAGGATTTCAAAGTCTATACAGATCATGTGATTGCACAAAATCACAAGCCCCTTAAGAAATAAAACAAAATATTCACAAAATATTCGCAAAAAGTGTTATCCTTATCTCAATCATGCAAGAAATACATGACAAGTAGCAATATAAACAGCCTTCTTTAACTTTGAAAAAAAGTATTCAAAAGAGTATGAACCAGAAATAAAAAATATTAACAGATTTTTAAGAGTTTTAAAATGAGGAAAGATCTAATCTTTTTAAGGGCAACACCACTTGGCAAATTTAAGCACTTAACACATTGCCTCCAGGAACCAAGTAGATCCTGTATCAAACAAAGGGGAAGGAGAGAGTTATTAACATGTTGAATAAAGTATCGTACATCCTAGCCTAAGTCCCACCTGTTTGTTTGAGCGTATCTTTCAAGAAATCAAAGTGTTCCCATCGTGCTTGACTACCGTAGATCCGACACACCTCATCCTGGCTGAGGGGTGTGGTCCCATGGCTCGCCCTGAGAATGTCGCCCTCTCTGGACAGTTTCAGGAAGTTCCCCTTCTTGGCATCGAAGACTAGCCCCTTTGTGCTATTAAGGACAGAGTGGAAAGACAAAACAAGAGTACAATGAATGTAAAGTTGGTGATGGCTGCCCTCTCTCAAAGGCTTCTTAAAGTTATAGGCTACTCTTGATATTATGAATTATTTTGGAGGAGAAAACTACAATGTTACTGTGGTCATGATCATTAGAGAATATATAAACAAATAGTATCTCAAAAATCTCAATCTCCCTTCTCCTCAACCCCCCCCCCCTTTTTTTTTCTCTTTCTCTCTCTCTCTCTCTCTCTCTCTCTCTCTCTCTCTATGTGTATGTATTTTAATTGGTGTATGTATTCTAATTGTTGTATTTATGTGACATCAATTTCAGGTAATTAATGATCAAATAAAATCGTATCACACGTGAAGTGTTATCTAGATTATCAACAGTTACATGCCTGTGTGACATACATGTACATGTACATGGACATTTCTGCAATCCACAAAAGTTTTTGTTGCAACAATGTTTAAAAATTTGTGCTTAAGTTACAAGCTGTACAGTACAAGCGCAATGGTAGTGACTTCAATGGCTACGTGTGAAGTGGACATGGCTGAGATAAAGGGACTTGTGTGAATGACCTCCAAGTCAGAATGCATGACACATATCTTTCCATGCCACTTGTTATAGAATTCTTTCCAATTCAACTTTTTGTCAACTTCACAGCCTTCTCAAGCGTGACTTTCATCCAAAACCGCACAGTCAGAACTTCTGCATGTGTGTTGGTTTCTGGTTCAGTCATACAGAACTGGGTACATATAAAACAATACAGCCAAAACTCTCACAGAAAGATTATTTGCTCTTGGGAAAACCAGGTTGAATGAGAGCCATAAACATTGGATGACTGAACATTTGCAAAAGATTTCAATCATGGAAAAACATTAACAATGGATGACCGTTTCGTGACTGAGCTTCTGCTTGCCCATGTGTGATTAATCAGTGCAAAATCATTGTAAGTTTGTTTTGTTATCAAAAATATTTGAATTTCATAAGACAGACAAATATTTATGAAAACTCAGATGATTCATCAATAAGATTAGGTTTCTCAAAGTTTATGTTCCTGCGGCCTACATCTTCTTTTTTTCAGTATTTTAGCAGGTATCAAAATAAAACTGAAATGAACCCAAATTCTTCATCTATAGCTTGTGAAAAAGAGAAGGGGTTCTATGTTATTTGATATTTTATTTTAATAGAAGTAATACAAAATATAATAATAATAACAACAAAAATAACAATAGTAGCCAGATCAGTGTTAAAACTGTACTCCCTGAGAGTCCTGCAATCAATGAGCCTAGTTCACTTCTTAAGTCCAAATCACACATAAGGGGGTAAACCAAATGGGGGAACCTGTGGCACTATATTGTATAACATACAGATGAATGACAAGTGGGGATGAAAAAAAAAATATCTGAGCACAACAATGGAACAATGCTTACTTATCAGTAAGATATAGGATCCAGAAAAGTTTATCACATTACGCTTTATCATGTCAGTATTTAAAAACCTGCATGTATGTGGTTTACAGCAACATATACAGGGGAGCTTCAAAGAATCATGATTTGTAAATTAGGGAGAAACGATTCTCACATACAATTTCACAATTAATTACAACTGTAAGACACCCTTTGGATTGTTTTCCCTCATCTTTTAAATCCCAGTGCAATGGCAAGTGTACCCCGATGGATGCGGCGCTGCCAAGGATCACTGTTTATCCTATACTGCATGATGCTATGCCTGCTGTACCTCTATCAACATGACTACTTCTCTCAGCCTGACTCTCAAGTGGCCCTTCCGAGCAGAGACTATAGAATCCATCCTGGAGGCCCGGCAAAGGGGAAAGATGGAGATGGCAACATGCTCGAAGGAGATCCCAGTCAGCACAGGAGGGTACGAATCTCGGCTCAACATGGAATAAAAAGTGATCTGAATGACAGCATAGCCTTAACACAAACATCAAGGAGACGACGATATGAAAAGAAAAGGATAGTTGTTGAGCTGCAAGAACCTTGCTTTAAACAGGTCCAAATATGGACACACGATTTCCACTTGGCTACTGAGAGAACGGACTTCCCCTGTCAAGGGCTACCTTGTAGTCTTCGGCTAATTGAGGATACCCGCTTTGAAACCATGGAGACAAGTGATGCAGTCCTTCTTCATTATCTCTCCACCTGGGACTGGGCTGAGATGCACAAGCATAAGAAACTAGGGCAGAAATGGATCTTCTATTCAGCTCAGAGTCCAGTCCGAACCCAGAGGAACATCATACCACCCGTCAAGTACCATAATAACACATACGACTACATCATGTCTTACAGGTTGTATGAGAGAAATCTGTTTGGAGATTTTGGCAAAGTTACAGAGATGGAGAAAGTTTCTCAGAATTCGACAAACTGGGCAGAAGGAAAGGACAAGCTTGCCGTGTGGATTGAACAAGAATGCAGCGGCTCTTACATTAAGTGGGAGCGATTGACATTTGTCCAGGAACTTGCCAAACTCATCCCTGTCGATATCTATGGAACATGTGGTAGGACCCCTGAATGCAATACACACAACTGCAAGAAGGACTTTGAGCGTCACAAATTCTACCTTGCTCTTGAAGATTGCAATTGCCGTAACTTTATCACAAAGGCCTGGGATGCTTTTCAAGACAATTTAGTACCAGTTGTTTATGGTCCACCAAAGGAGGACTATGATCTTGTCCTACCTCCAGGCTCCTTCATTCACATCCAGCAGTTCTCGACTTTGAAGGAGCTGGCAAACTACCTCCGCCATCTAGATAGCCACGATGACATCTACAACAAATTCTTTGAATGGAAGAAGAGATGGAGAGTGGAGAGCATCCCCGAGAAGCGTCTCCTGGAGCCCACGATGATGTGTCAGGTTGTGGAACGTCTCCTCGATGATGATAGATCTGTCAGATATGGAAAGTATCGGAGAATGGCAGCTCCAAACTGGGACCAATGGTGGAAGGGGTCATGTGACAATTCAAGTCCATTTCCTGTTGACATGGTTTGATGTTATGTTTGAATGGCAACATTTCTTTAAGAAACATTGTTTGTTATGAATTAACTTGATTTTTTTTAGCTTGAAAGTTGTAGAAATTGCTAGACTAGTCATTTGGCTACTTGTTAGACTACCATTTTGCCGTCACATGAGACAATCTTATTTATACAATAAAATTTCATGTTTCAGATTGGTTACGCATGCGTAATAGTTGGAATGAATAGTAGGCTACCTAATAAAATGTCATGTATTAATTCTTTGAATTTGTTTAATGTGATATGATTAATTATGCAATTAGGTTGCTAAGGTACAGGTACTGCTTCCAATTTCCAACAACCCGTACATCAATGAGGCCTTACAAGGTACTGAGAACAGGGACTTTCTTTGTGTTAATGATATGAGCTATACAAAGAACGTTCATTATAGAAGTAGTCAGTCATTGGTCGTGTATTGTTCTGAGGTACAATATAGTTCTGGAATTCAGTCCTTGGTGGGCTTGTGAATTACAGCCATACAATTACAGTTCTTAATCATCAATAAATTGGTCTGCTAGTCAGGCTGCAGATTGGGTTAATGATCAATTATACCATTCTAAAGGGCTACAGCCCACAAGACCAATTTACAAGAGAGACAGCGCAGTAGACAAACTATTTTGTTCTCATGGGCTACTGACAACTTCAGTGCTTTGCTAGATCAACAGCCCACAAGACCAACTACCTAAGACACCAGCAATATTGGTCCCATTGGCTTTCTATCAACTTTTTCAGAGGATTCAAAAGACCAACGAGACATATTTCTGCCTTCTCTTTTATATGTCTTTGTTTTGTCAGCCTCATGAGCTGTCGGTCTTGTGGGCTGTCAGTCTAGTGAGCCTTTTGTCAATGTCTGTCTCTGGGAGCACTACTAAAAGACACACAAGTTATCTCTGGTCGAAATGTACTTACCAAAAATCTCTGTCTTTATGGAAAGGCTCCAGAAGTTCTTTACTGTACCCCTTTCTGCTAACGACTACCTCAGCTAAACTATTATAAATCAGCTGCAAGAAAAGAAGATTCATTAAATATGTTGTTTAAAGGGTGATCTAAATTTATAAGTTTTACTAGTATAGACTAGCATTATTAATACTATTAGACCTATAATTTATAAATTACTTGGCATCACCTGTGCCCGGCAAGGGACAAGTGAACTGAATCATGGTAACCATCAGGGTTTCTACTGCTGAACATCACAGCTAAGTAAGACCTCATTCAACATCAACACACCCCCTCCCCCCTCCCAGGCCATCCTGACCTTTTTGTATTCTAATTCACAATGAATTCTGCATTTCTTTTAAACCTGAAGTTAAGGTGTGATAATAACATTATTGAACAGTTTTGTTAACTGTTTTGTTAGAAACTTAGAACGTGACTAAGTCTAGGCCTACATTTTCTTATAGTAGATAGATCTACATCTAGACTCTGGTCCTCCCTCTCCTTGATTAATGTCTATCTTAGGGCGTGTTTATGCTTCACTTTTTCTGGCCAGAATCAGGCATCTGTTACGAGTTTAGTTTAAAACACGGTTGCGTCCATGCTCACTTTTGTGGAATCACCCAAAAAACGGCGATCATGATCGCCGATTGTAAACTCACAAAAAGATGCGTTTACAATTTGTAAACGCGTTTAAATAGGGTCAACGCACTGACCTCTAGTGGGTCTACGTAGCATGCACAGTGAAGGTTTGCGAATCCAGCTGGAAGACCAATTAAGGCCACACAGGGAGAATTGCCTGGAGGAGCCTGAGAAGTGAGCATAAACAGTACACCGTGGAACTGCGATTACGATGAGCGTTTACGATGAGCGTTACAAATCGCTCATTCTGCCTTCAAAAGTGAAGCATATACACGCCTAGACCGAATTTTCCGTCTCTTTCGTTCGTTAGCCTCTTATTGGGGTAGGGTCGGCCGGCTCTCTCTTTAGAGACGGAAACCGTCTAGATACACATTCCCTTGATAACGCCACGGCCATTTCAGGTCGTAGCGTTTTGCCCCCAAAATCCCCCAAAATGTCATTTTACCTCGTGTTTATCCAAATGTAAATTAGGCCTAGGCTATAATACATCGGTTCCACTTACTAACTTGATTGAAATAATCCGTTTAATGGTCCCTTTTAAGGAAATTATGGGTCAAAATCGACATCCATGTTGAAAATCTTGCAAGCCGTGTTAAACTCTCGCTGCCGGAGTCATCTAAATCAATCTCATCCCTTCTAGTCTACGCCGAAGGCAAAAATGATTATGAAGGAAAAACTGTGATAACGCCATTACGAACGTGTAGATGGCGCATGTATTATAGCCTAGGCCTAATTTACATTTGGATAAACACGAGGTAAAATGACATTTTGGGGGATTTTGGGGGCAAAACGCTACGACCTGAAATGGCCGTGGCGTTATCAAGGGAATGTGTATAGACGGTTTCCGTCTCTAAAGAGAGAGCCGGCCGACCCTACCCCAATAAGAGGCTAACGAACGAAAGAGACGGAAAATTCGGTCTATACCCCAATAACAGGCTAACGAACGAAAGAGACGGAAAATTCGGTCTAATAGTAATAGATATCTACACGCCCTGGGCCTTAGTCGACTCTCACACCCTCATCGAGTTTACGCTAAATCATCATCATCATCATCACGACTATTTACTTTATAGCAAGCTTATTAATATTACTTAGACCTAGGCTCGTCTGCGGCCGAGTAGGCCTAGACCTAGACCGAATTTTCCGTCTCTTTCGACCGTCGTTAGCCTCTTATTGGGGTAGGGTCGGCTCTCTCTTTAGAGACGGAAGCCGTTTATACACATGTCCTTGCTAATCCATGTTGAAAAAGATTTTCAAAATGGATTTCGATTTTGACCCATAATTTCCTAAAAAGGGACTATTAAACTGATTATTTCAGTCAAGTTGGTAAGTGGAACTGATTTATTATAGCCTAGGCCTAATTTACAATATAACATGCTCGAGGTAAAATGACATTTTGGGGGATTTTGGGGGCAAAACGCTACGACCAGGACTGGCCGTGGCGTTAGCAAGGACATGTGTATAAACGGCTTCCGTCTCTAAAGAGAGAGCCGACCCTACCCCAATAAGAGGCTAACGAACGAAAGAGACGGAAAATTCGGTCTAGCCTAGACCTAGACTAGAGTCTAGATCTAGATCTATTGGGTTCAAATGGAAATTGTGAGAACTTGAATGATTTACCGAAAAGGTGTTATCCAGCTTGTATTTACAGAGTGTGTGGTCCAAATCCACACCGACTGCATCGAAGTCAAGAAAAGACAGTTTAGCTGGTCTTGAGATAGACGACATTTTGACACAATTGTAAACAGGAGGTAGTAGACGTAGATATCGAGAGCAGTGCAGAGACAAGGCCAAGGCAGCGAATCTCATTACAACATGAAGTACCGCATCGAATTTTGCTTTTCGCGCTGAATGGACATAGCCTACAGTGAACTATGCACACGCATATGCATTGAACTCAAATCGTCGCCCACGAAGTCAATAGCCCTCAACGTCGAAACACTGGGAAAGGGAATTTCCCTTTTTCTACACGCATGCGTAACTGTATTCCTACAAGAAATGCCCTTCTCGATCGTGATACAGTTATAATGAAAAAGACCTTCCCAAACAGCACTCTCCTTACTTCTAGATAGAGAAATATATTTCAGAGGGTGGTGTGTAAACGTATAAGTTTAATTCTAACTTAAGAAAAGGTATGAAAACACAAATGTAATTACTTCGACCCTGACGTTAATTTCTCTTGTATCTAAAATGTCCGCCCTATGCATGTGACAATACTATCAAGTAAACTATTATAAGAAGATGCAGAGGGAACCATATGTGTGTTATACTTCATGCCCCAACATAAACAAGAGTACTAAACAAAATCATGTGTATATAATTGTGTCTAAAGACAGGTATGATGAAATATGTGTTTGCAGAAATCAGATATTAGAGATTTTATTGACCAAAACAATTGATAGGTGCGTAAAAAAGGAAATTAAATATTTTCCCATATGTTTTTGATCAAAGATATTCTCGCGACAGTATATCCATGGTTTGATTGATAAAAACTTCAGAAATGTATAATTTGTTATTGCATGCTAAATTTCCTTCAGGCGTTCAGACATAATTCTTTCATATTGTTCTGCATATATAGGCCTAGCCTAGATGTAGAAACGAATATTCATTGAATGTGTGGTCATCCCGAGTAGGGTTATGTAATCATTTTCATTAAGATTTTTTTTTCTACCTCTGTCTTCTGCTCCATTTTTTCTTTCTTTCTTTCACTCAACATGGCTCTCTATCGTCCACCACCCACCCCCCCCCCCCTCTCTCTCTCTCTCTCTCTCTGTCTCTTTCTCTCTCTCTCTCTCTTTCTCTCTCTTTTCTCTCTCTCTCTCTCTCTCTCCATCACTCTCTTTCTTTCTCTCTCTCTCTCCATCACTCTCTCCTGTTCTTCTTCTCACTGTCTCTCTATATCCACCCCTCTTCCTCTGTCTCCCAAACTCTACACTCTATCTTCTTTCACTTTCTTTACTCTTTCTCTCTAATCGAAAACGTACTCGAGGAATTAATGCCTGTGTCTCAATCTTTACTATTCCTATGTCTTAATATAAACAGGCATAAATAATAAGTTTGTGTGATCAGTTACAATGGTATGTAAATGCGTCCTGTTATTTTTTTTGTATGAATTGTAAGTTTTGGAGGATTTGTATAGATTTGTATAGATGATACAGGTGCAAATAAACACATCTCTGAAATTAAGAGGCCTCTCATATACATAATTTGTAATGCAGGGTATCACAAGTAGACATCGAATTTATCCAAACCATAATCGTACTGCAGTTTGAAAAATTCTGGATTCTGTCATCACATTGCATACAAACTATAAATATTTGTAATATATACTTTTAATGTGATGCTCAATAATCCTACAATCATTCATGTACATTTTAATTCTTTAAAATCGATATCCAAAACTTTGAGAAGGAGGAGATAATAATTCAAGTTTAAACTAACTGATATACCAACTATTTACTTTGTGTGATAGCGCTTTACATGCACGTCGCTAGATCGAATAGGTCGGTATCAGACCAACTCTCCCGACAAGATAACAGTTACTTTTACATCGATAAAAATAGAGGTCCTCAGATACAGTAATACATGTCTCAGAAGGTTAATCGAAAAATACTCACTTTTCCTCTTTCGATTTTCAACCGAAGGATATGTACATACTATGTTAATATAAGTCTTCCCATGTGATGGGAAAAAATTCTATTATTGAGATGGAAATAAGTAATGGTTCAAATAAAGTTCCTTGTTCACACCAAAAGGAAGTGTTTTACCAATAACACCACACATCACAAATTGGCTTTGAGAGATTCCCCACAACTATTATCAATTTCAACTTTTAGAAATCTATATTCTCTATCATTAAAGGTACGAGTGGTGGTACAAAATCGAAGTATAGCAACCTATTGGACTCATTCTTGCGTTTATATTTGTTGCTATTATTCTTTATAATTATATGTTCTTATCAAACAGTGTCGGGTCGTCACCCAGTAATCGTAGATTTGCTAAGTGTTTTTGTTCACTCAGGTAAAATTGAAATGGAAAATCAATTCCCATTAACCAAACAGTTGGTGATTTCAGGCAACTGTCCGAATATGTTATTGTTTATGCGCAAAATGCAATATCAGTATTATAAAAAAAAAACATGCCGATGCATGTGAGCTGGGAATATAATGACGTGATAACACAAAACGAGAAGAGACTGAATGAATCTGGTATAATAATAAAAAAAAATAATAAAAACGTTACTTGTAAAGCGCTTACCACCGAAGTCTCTAAGCGCTATACATCTCTATCTCTTTCTCTCTCTCTATCTATCTTTCTATATTCACCTATTTTCTACCCTAAAAGTTGATTAATTATAATAATAATATTCCGCGTGTTTACAGCGCTTAAAACATCGACGATGTCTCTTAGCGCTTTGCAGATATATTATTACACCAGCCAGACGCGTACGCAGGGGGGGGGGGGGGTGAACCCCCCTTTAACTTTTGTTTGTTTGTGTTTTTGGAGGAACCCCCCCCCCCCTTAGTGTTTTTTTGTTGGTAATGGTTAGGAGCCAGAGCATATAACACTGAGTTCCTATAGGAAATATATATATATATTCAGATGGTCATATCTCAGCCAAAACTTAACATATTCAATTGGTTTTTTGACATTTAGACATTATTTTTGAGGCTTTTTCGGGAAATGAAGAAAAAATTAAGAAATTCTACAAATAGAATTTTGATGACGTCACACTTTACCGCTCTATGCTGAGCATCCTACTGGGTACCCATTTAGCACCTGGATGTAGATTGGCAAATGTAGATTAACGTCTTGCCAAAGGACGTTAGTGATCTACAATCTGGCAACTTATCCACTAGGCCACAACATCTCTACTAGCCTATATTCATGGAGAATGCAAAAAATCAAGTCCGAATATATACAGAGAAGACGTTTATAATCTGTTGTCACTGGTAGTCATCTTCTTATGAGCCTTCACTGTCGAGGAATTGTTCTTAATATTGATGTTCCAGGGATGCAGTTCGTCTAATGTTGCAGTGAGAAACTTCTGAAAATACTTTTCTTGCTCAAACAAGAGTTGGAGATATTAATATAAATTGCATGAATTGGTAAGAAAATAATTTACAATGACGCCAGTATTTGCATTTATCCAGCATTAATAATTGCTTTCGGCGGTTGTCTATTGCATGCTCACAACTCTCAAGTCTCTCCGAGATATAATCACCTTTATGTTAGATACCAGTGCCGGAAAAAAGTCAAAATGTGAAGTGGATAAAGTGTTTTTCGATTGACTTTAAGAGCAATTAAGAATGACGGTTGATCGATCTCCCCGTTCATAATACAATGAGTTGTCTTTTGAACGATCTTAACACGTTTAATTATCTATTCGGCATGATCAACATGTCAAAGATTGGATTTTAGGTACTTGAAATGGTGTCGTGATAGATTTTCATATTAAATCGACGTATCCTGCTTTCAAGAGGGTCTGTATCCTTGTGTATCCATTATTTTTTTCTCGACATGACAGATTTTAATCGTCTCAGTCGATACGAAAAAAGACCATGGAAAACACATTCCGTATAATTTGTTGTTATCATTTATTAAACAAGCTGGATAAACACGAAGAAATAACAAGAACTAGTATATTTGTAAAGCACTTAGAGACATTTGTATAAAGCGCTATATAAAAGCTAAATAATATTATTAGTAGTAGTAGTTCTGTTACGACAAATGTACGAATACTATGGTACAAGTATGAGAAAAATAAAACATAAGTACATCATGTATTGATCATAACTTTTATCACAATATATACCAACAACAAACACTGTGAACTTCCAAACATAGCAGATGGCTAAAGAAATGTTTTTTAATAGTCAAGTATGCTTTACCATACGATGATTGACAATGATCGGCATAAATTCCTTCAGTTTAAAGTCGATGCATCATCACAACTTTTCGTGGCGGATCCAGGATCCTTTTTTTAACATTGAAGAGAGAGAGAGAGAGAGAGAGAGAGAGAGAAGAATGATTCGTCTAAAGGCGTTTCACAAAAGCATATGCATACATTTGGTTACATTACGACAATGGCATATTGTCATCTGACGTAAAGAAATATTCCACCAGTATGCAAACTCTCGTGTGATCTAGAAATTAGTTCAATCTTTTTTAGCAGGTCATACACCAACGTCATAATTAATTTCATGATCCCGTCTAAATACTACGAATGGATATACGGTTCCTTTTAAATTATGAAAATGGAATGCGTCACTTTTACTAGCTGCTGAGCAAAATGTGTCATGCACATTGGCAATCAAAATATGTATACAATTATCACAATTCGTTTGAACAGTCATGAGAACCTCGTAACAATGTTTATTTTGCTGGGGGGGGGGGGTTATTTACATGCTGTCTTTAATATATTGATTTTTTCTCTTTGTTTCGCTTATTTACTCGCCTGTACTTAAAACTTGTGGAGGAAAACATATAAACAAAATATAACCACCAGCTCCTTAACACCCATAAGTTGACCTTATACGATCATATTATAATGCAGGCATCTTTAAATAACCAACAAAAGAAACCAACAAAAAATCGTACAATTTACATAAAAGTACAGACAAAGTCACTCATGCCAAAATGTGGCTAATATAGAAAGCAAACATAAAATATCAAAAATCATTACAAAGCTGCGATGGAGAAAAGGGCCTCCGAAGCTCATTAATGTTCACCCATTTGATGCTTCCCTCCACATGACAGCTAATTACTTTGTAAAGCGCATAGAGAAACTTCGGTTTATTATGCGCTCAATAAATCTATCTTTATTATTATTATTATTATTAAGAATTAATGTGTTAAACAACTTCATCAGCCCATTTTTTTCTACACATTAAGAGTATA